ATGAGAAAGCAAAAATTTAAAGATCATTGGTCTAGGCAGATTGCTTTGTTTCCTTCTGGAGGGCCAAGGACTATTTATTTATTACAAAGTAATTTATTTTAAATCTTATCTTTGTAGTTTAATGAAGCAGAAATTGATCCATATGTACTGCTTCATATGTTTTAGGATCGATAAACAATAAAGGCTGCAAAAGCTTACCTGTGTGGATGTGTTTTGTTTAGCATTCTTTAAAATCTATTCTCTGTTGGTAAAGGAAAAACAAAATGTTGGTATGGAACAAAGTCACCTTTTACAGTTTTTAATACTTACTAATATATAGCTTATTTTATAGTAATAATTAAACCATTTAATTTAGATAACAGCTTTCAGTTCCTGTTGATTAGTTATTTACTAACCTAGCTTTATGATTTATTTCTACCCTCAGAGGACAGGTGATTCCATTCCCTGGGTTGGTTAGGACTGTGTGAATGAGAGGCTGGGCTCTACCCACGCGTTACCAGCCTCTGTAAGAGCCACAGTGGTTCCCATCACTGGGCCTAGCTTACAACAGGCCGGGCAGAGCACAAGTTTTCTCTCTAATATTCACTACAACCACAGGAATTTGATTTTATCTTTTTCAGTTGACAGGGAATTGAAATGCACTAAAACTTGGGAGTTACTTGGAAGTAACTTTCAAGAGCACAGGCTAGTCGGTGAAGAGCTGCTGATAGCTTCTGCCTCAGCATGCTGGCCCTGGTAAAGAGTGCACAGTGAAGAACAGAGGAAGAACACTGGAGGTGGGGTTCGAAGACCTGAGTCACTGTTTAATTCAACTCCGTGTTTAGCTGCGAAACCTAAGAACTCACCATGTTTCCGTTTTAGAGTTGTTGGGAGTTTGTAGGATTATGTATGACTTAAACTAAGCAATACATCACTATGAAGGAGGATTAATGAGAAGCTGTCATAACATTTTTTGGTGCCAGAAGAGTTCATAAGAATCGTTTGAACCCTGGCTGGTGTGGCTCAGTGGGTTGAGCGCTGGCCTGAGAACCAAAGGGTCACTGGTTTGATTCCCAGTCAGGGCACATGCCTGGGTCGCAGGCCAGGTCTCCAGTGAGGGGGCGCTCGAGAGGCAACCGCACATTGATGTTTCTCTCCTCTTTCTCCCTCCCTTCCCTTCTCTCTAAAAATATAAATAAAGTCTTTAAAAAAATAAATCTTGATTTTGTGGAATTGGGAATTATGTTGTGTTTTTCCACCTGGTGAATGCTACAGTGAATGGATTGTGTCAAAACTTGAAGTGTGTGGAAGTGTGTATTGTCCCCACCTGATTTTGGCATTGGGGAAAGAAGTCAGGTAGTGTGGACACAGGAAATACTATCTGTGTGCATTCCATTGAAAGAACTTGGGTTAAAATGTCAAAGTTGTTCATGTTTAACTCTGAGTCTGGGCTTGATCTCTGGAGCATTATGTAAGGGTGGAGTTAGAAAATAAGAATAGTTTGTACTAAAGGAACATTTTGGATCAGGAGAAAATAAATCCATAAGCTCCAACCTTTGTGGCCTGATTTCCCTACTCTACCTTCAAGGACTCAATTAAAGCCTTTGCTGACTCACAAAATTGTTGCTTCTCCCCAATAAATGCTTCAAATGTCCTTTTTATGTTTGCTTGTCTGCTTCAGGCTAGTCTTGAAAAAAGGAACAACCTCAGATATTAAAACTAAGCAAAGAATAACAAGGGCTCATGAACTTTTACCGCCTTGCTTAAGAACTAGTCAAGACGCCCTGTATACCTCTCCCCATCACATGCCCCTCCAATGGGAAGCACCAGCCCAGGTTTGATATCTATCATTCTCATGCTTTCTTTATAGGTACGTCTGACTAAGTGATACACCAGGTTGTTTTGCATGTTAAAGCTGATTATATAAATAGAAAAAAAAACTGAACGTGTTTCTCTGCCCTCTTGATTTTTACATTCAAAGTGAAAAATATTTTTGAGGGTTGTTCATAGTGACTCAGGTAGTTCAAGTTCATTTCTTTTCATTGCTGTGTGGAATTCCACTCTGTGTATGCACCATGTCTGAGTTCAGGCTGTTTTTAAAAAGTACCACAACCTGGGAAGCTTATGAACGACATAAATTTATTTCTCATTGTTCTGGAGGGTAGGAGTCTGAGATCGAGGTGCCAGCACAATTGGGTTCTGGTGAGAACCCTCTTCTAGGGTCAGTCTTCTGAGGCGGCTGGCTTCTTGTATCTGCACATGGAGTGGAGAGTGAGCCTCTTCTTACAAGGGCACTAATCCTGTTAACGGCTCCAGTTTCATGACCCAGTTATTTCCCAAAGGCCTCCCTCCAAATACCATCACATGGGGATGAGATGTGAACATATGAATTTGGGAGGGATGCCACAATTTACCTAGCCTTCTGTGGATGGGTGTTTGGCTGTTGTTTTTGCTGTTACAAACAATGCTGCAATAAACAACATTTTTGTTCCTTTGTGTAAATGTGGGTTTCTCTAGGGTTTATCTTTTGTAGGGTTGGAACTTCCATGTGCTGGGGCATGCGCAAGCTCAGCTTCACTAGATAATGCGAATTGCTCTCCAAAGTGATGGCACCAATTTATATTTTCTCCAAATGTTATTTGAGCATTCCCATTGCTTTCTATCCTTGATCCCAGCTTTCATTAAAAACTAAAAGTACAAGCTGATGAGTCGTTAGATCAGCTCTACAGGCTTCTGTAATTGGCACCCCTTAAAGAAAAGGACAGTGTTTGTGGAATAAAATCCAAACTCCTTACCCTGGCACACAGCTCGGGCCCAGCTGGCTTTCTCCCGAACCAGCCTCACCGGGCAGCACACTCCCCGACTCGCAGTGGCCTTCTAGACTGGCACATGCACACAAACTCCTTCCCACTCTTTTCCGAGCCCATCATATGACAGATTTCTTCTCAACATTTGCATATTGGCCCCTCCAAGAGGCCTTCCCTGACCACATAATACAGCCTTCCTACTTACCTCATGGCGCTCATTCACATTACTTCCTTTGGTTTTGTTATTGCATTTATCACAATCTGAAATTATTTACTTTTTTGTTTCTCTCGCTGGAAGATAAACTCTGTGAGGGCCATGTGCACGACTGCACTTGTTAAATTTTTATTGAATGAATAAATGTGCACCTACATACCTTCCCTATTTGGCAAGCTTGTTACTCTTTTCTGTCACTTCCACATTTCACAGTCTCAGCCTTTTGCTGACCGCTGGTGTAGAGATTAGGGTGAATGTAGAGAATCTTCATAGTATTCTAAATACCACTCTGTCCAGTGTTTCCTGTTTCCTTCTGAGTTGTCCCAAGATCTCATGCGCTGACTCTATCCACAGTTGAACTTTCCTCTTTGGACTGAAGCCAAGTCACACCCCTCTACCTTCCACGCCCGGACTGACACCTGTGGCCCTCCGTCTTACTCCATCTTTCTGGAGGTCTTCTGGCTTAAGTGCTTAGTCAAGGGTGAAATGTGCCTGCGTCATCTCTGGCCTTTTCTTGCTCACCTGATGGTGTGGGAAACTGCAAGGGGCTGAGCATATGCTTATTTACTCATCATCTAGGCATTTGTGACTTTGTGGGCATCATTTGAATCACTTGTGATTCCTGCCTCCAGTCCATTCACTAAAGTTTCTTCTGGGAGCACATTCTGATTATATTGAGACTGGTCAGCTGATTCACTCCCTGCCTTTGTGATCTCCTCCCTCCACCCATGTGACCGCTGGTGCCCAGGGGGGCATAGGTGCTCTCTTTCTGTGCTCCCTGTGCTTCTGTCACTGCGCTTACCACATTGTTTTGTCATGATCTCTTTTTGCATCTCTTTTTCCTTGAAAAGAAAGAAGTATGATTTTTAGCTTTGCACCACTAGTGCTTGGCACAAAATAGGCATTGAATAAATGTTTATCAAACAGATGAACAAATGAATGGGGTGAATCTGGAATAAAAACATGGCTTATTAATACATTCAATTTATATGTAGAAAGTATCAACCATATTTATTTTTTAATAGAAATTTGTAATCAGTGGCAGCTCAACTTCAGAAAAATCAAGTTTTCCACAGATGGATAGGTGGGAACTCAGATTTGAGATGAGTTCAAAAACTAATATTGTATGTCAACAATAATTAAAAGTATATTTAAAAGTAAAAGGTGAATGATAGCATTAGGCTATATGTGGCCATTTCATTCCAATAAAACTAATATAAAATTTTAAAAAAGAAGAAGAACAGGGAACCGAGAAGTCGAGAAGCTGAGAAGAGGCAGGGTGCTCCAAGGCCATCTCCAGCTCTCACCTGTGCTTTCTGCTCTGAAGCAACTTTATCACTGAGCAGAAGAAACTGTGCTGGGCTGTCCTTGCAGATTCGGCCCATCCCTTCTCTCTCCCCTTGGAAGGGAAGATGCATAATGTTCCAGAATCCTTTGCCAGGAGCTCCAGTTATAATTCCCAGCAAGAGGCACCTGCCTGAGGTCGGCCAGGTGCTGGAGAAGCAGCTGCTGCCATTCATCCCAGGCAGGAGGTGTGGCTGTTCGGGCAGACGGCAGTTCCTCCCGCACTCTAAGGGGAGGGGGCTGCTCTGCCAGAGGAGCCCCTGCCACTCTCTCACATGGGTGCTGCTGGCTTCCTGGCTTCCTGAGACCCTCTCACTTCCAGGTTTGCTGAAAGCCAGCAGGGTTTTCCTTGCTCTTCGCTTCCTCAGCCTTTAGGATGGTTTTGGAAGTATCGAATCTCTCCTTGCTTTCTGTTTTCCTGCTAGAACTCTCACTGATATGGACATGTTTGCTGATTTGATTTTTCTCTGGTGTCCTGAAAGTGGGTTGTTTCTTCCCCAACCAAGAAAGTAAACTGGTGATGACTCAGGATATGTTCTAAATTTATAATAAAGCATATTTCTTGGTCTTTTCTAGTCATTTTATATTCTTTTCTTGAAACCTCCTACACCCCTTCCTAAAGACAATGAAACAAACAAAAGCACCATCATTCTTAGTTAAATTTTTTCATTTATTATAGCTGCTATTGCTGTTACTGTATCTTGCTTTACACCAGAATTGTGACAAAGGGCCATTAGTTTTACAGAAAGTGAAGAAAGATAGGACGGTTGCTTAAATTTTTCCCAAACCTGGCCGGAAGGGAAATTCACACATCCTTGAAGTTTATGAAATAGGCGTCGAATCTTTATTAAACTGGCCAGCAGAAGAAGGTCATCCCCATTCACGTAGTGGAAAACTGGAATCTCCTCAGGGTTCATTAGCTTTTCGGCAAAGAGAAAGAAAAGGGAAGCTGAGGATCTGATAGTGGGAGTGGTCCCTGTGGGCAGAGGCCAGCAGTGGAACTAGTTTGGGGCTGGATTCCCTGTTGAGTCTGATTATAAACAGGGGCAGTGGTGTTACTCTAACCTGAATGGGAACAAGCTGAAATCCTGTGGAGACTTGAGAGACCAGAGGAGGTCAGAGCAAACGATTTGGATACTTTCAAATGCTTACAATTTATTCAAGTAATTTAACCAGCATATACTGAGGGGAACACAGAGATGCTGCAAACGCAGTTCCTTCCAGGGGGAATGCCAAGCAGGGGCCAGTAGTTGTGAGCCCTGGCTTGGAGGCTGAGAGGGCAATGAAGGGGCAAACTTCCTCAGAGAAGGTAGCACCTGAGCTGGGTTTTCAGGAAGGACTGGAATGATTAGAAATCCTTTCCTTCTCCTAAAACGTTCCCCTACCTCCAGGAGGCCGTTCCACATTAACCATTCCATGACCCCTTCCTCAGCCTCTGCTCTCCCCACTTCCTCACAGCCTTTGGTACGGGCTGGTGTCTGCTTGCAGCTGCAGGAAGGTGAATGGACCTGCTAGCACGGGCTTGCCTGAGAAGTTTCCAGTCTGCAGCTTCAGGTTCAGCCTAGGGGGTGTTTAGTGGGGCAGGTTAAGTATAAGCTGACTTACTGCCCTCTGTAAGCTGTGTGACCACTCACCTGCAAAAGACACAAGAACTCACAATATCTTTCTGCATTTTCATCCCTCCCATCACAGTAAGAAAAGAAGGAAGGGAGGGAAGGAGAAAGAAGTATGAGATGGATGAGTAACAAGAGTGGATCAGCATTTTTTAACTTCCTTTCAATTCCAAATCTCATAATATGACAGAAAACTTTTCTGGAGATCAATAATGGTTCTAGAAAATAGGAAAAATTTTCATCAGAAGAAATAATCTTCAGGAATTCCTAAAAATCAAAAAGCAGATGGGGCCATAGCCAGAGTGATAAATGACCAAATGAAAGCACTCACCAAAAACACACATGTTCTGAGCTCAAAGTCAACAGAAATGAGAAGCAGGAGGGGCCCTGAGGTAAATATTAGAATAACGGGTTGGGAGGTAGCCCTTGTCGTCCCTCTGAGCTTGGCACTGGGGCTAGCCTTCGACCCCTCAGCAGCATGTACAACTTCTCCACAGTCATCAGAAGCAAACTTCAGTAGCAGAACATGAGGGAAAATAGGGATTCTCAGTGACAAAAATGAACACACAACCAATAATCACCAAACACTGAGGCCATGACAGAGAGACACCAGATTTACCTATCAGAGATGCTTATATTCAAGAAAACAGAATTAGTAGCCAGGGGAAGACTTTAAAACATATATTGTTAATATTTTCTGAAGGATTTGAGAGGATTATTATTATCAAGGAAAAGAAATAAATGGAGGACCCAGAAGTTTATTCTATATATATAAAATATATAGTTACCAATTTTAGAGTGACCATTAAAATAGAATGTATTAAAAGACTGATTCTATTAGGCTGAGGAAAGCAACAAAACCCACCTATATGCTTTTTTACAAGAGACACACCCAACTCACAACTAGATTAAAAGGTTGGAAATCTAAGGGTGAAAACATGTACCAAGCAAATGCTAGCTAAAAGAAAGCAGGCATAGAAATTTAACATCAGATGGACTTGCATTTAAGCCAAAGACCATTAAAGGGGAAACTGGGAATAATACACAGTGATAATATTAAAAATTTTTTCAAGCCCCCCACCAAATCCCCTCACTGATACTGGGATCACATAATGGTCATAGCTGAAAAGCAAGTAAATGAGGTGGAAGCTGGCCCAGGGGTGAGGATGCAGCTCACCAAGAAGACAGTCAACATCTTTCATTTCCTAATCATAGAGTTTCAAGATATATAAAGAAAAATCTGGTAGAAGTAGTAGGAAAAATAGGCAAATTTCACACCAATATTGGGAGACTTTCATACATTTCTTAGAAACAAACCAACACTATAAAAAGAAAAGGAATAGAGAGAAGTGTGGATAGAACAATTAGACATGTGCAACTGTGTGCCAAAAATACTACATGGGAGGGGGTATCAAATATGCATTCCATAAAAATTATACCAAATAATTTTCTGACTCTTTTTCTGATTAAAATTCACTTTTAATGAGGGAGAGAGAAAGACACACATTTTATACATTTTTGGTAAGAACGCACTTACCATGAACATAATATACTAAAAGAAGGCAGTATTGTAAATTTCTATGGCTGGAATCCAAGTGGCTGATTGCAGTAGCCAGACTTACTGAAAGTAGCTAGAATAATTCATAGCACATTGTAGATCCTCACTCTATGTTGGTTGAATCTGAAGTTTCCCTTTTGTTTGTGTCTATGAGATATTCCTGCTTGTGCTGCATATTCAGGTCATACTTCCACTTACTTAAAAACATAGACTTTTTAGAGTTTGAAGTCACCTTTGAAGTTTTGGAGCTTAAGAGGCTTGCTCAAAGTCACACTCTATATATGCTACATATGTATACAGATACACACATATCTCTGTTTATATCTTTTTCTACATCTAGGTATACATTTCAGCTTTACTGAGGTATAATTGTAAACTCTGCATGCGTATTTAGCTCTCATTGACTTAGTACTTAGCTGATGCCAAGCACCATGCATAGCAGTTTGCATTCTCATTGAATCTTTCCAACAGTTGATAAAGTAGGAATCATTATCTCCACTTTATAGATGAGGTGTGGAGGACAGACTGCCCCATGGTGTGACTGCTGCCAGGCCCATGAGCTAGACTGAGGCCAGAACAGAGACTGCTCCCTGTACCTTCCTCAGAGGCTGTCTGACCGTCATTGACACTGTCCTTTTGATATAAACAGTACCTCTCCCTGTCCCCCATGGTATGCCACTTCCTGCAACAGTCCTTGTCTTGAGCTGGGCATTTTCCTTTACCTTGTTCTGTATAATTCTTTGGTGCCTGTCAAGCAGCGTGGAGGACATCCACGTCATCTGCCCAAGACGTACCTTGTATGTAAGTTTCCCTTAATAAATGCTGTTAATTGCCAGACTGGAGTGGCCTGCCTCTTTCTTCAGCCTTTCCCTGCCCATCACTTATGAAGGTAGATTTCCAGTCTTGGGGATTTTTACTTGGTCTGCATGTCCTAACCTTGGGGAACGGAAGTTCAAGTTCACCCACTTAGCTAAATGGCAGAGTTGAGGTTTGAAACCACATCTTCTGTAACCTGAAGTCATATTCTTAACCAATGCACAGAATTGTCAGCTACTGAGAGTGTGCCCTGGGCCATGCCCTGGGCGGGCTAGAGGAAGATCAGTTAAGAGGGAGATTCTGCAATTCAGGAGCTCACCATCCAGTGGGAAAGGTAGCTATGAGGGCAATTACAGAAGCATGAGTCAACAAGCACAGGGACAGAGGTGAGTACGTGCACAGCCCAGAGAAGGACATGACTAACCCTCATTGGGCCAAGGGCTAGGCAGGCTGGAACTGTCTCCAAGAAAATGGAGCTTATGCTTGGTCTCAAACATGGTTAGAGCCCAGGTCTGCTGACTTCGTTCAGGGCTTTCTGCTATAGTACAGAGAAAAGCAAACACAATACGAAAGCCTAGAACCAAACCCTCAAAGCAGCACTGTGCAGTCACAGAGTAAACACTCAATAAATATTGCTTGGATCGAAGTCTGACCGAGAAGGAATTTTTGAGGATGAAGAAACAATTTATAAGACTCCCCCAACTCCATATGAAACTTTCATTGTGTGTTTTTTTTTAATTGAATTTCAAAATTCTTAGTGGATGGTAGATGACACACAAGTATAATTTATCAGTAAGACCACTAACAAAAGTTATTTTTTATTATTCTAAATGTTTTTCCTGTTTTTAAAAATATATACCTACCTTCACTTTGGCTCCAACACTGATTCTTGCCTGTTGGCCCATTGCTAGGAAAGTGATTGAAATCTTGTCTTGTTCCAAGATGCGAACTCCAACATAATGGTTCAAAGCCAGAAAGACAGGTTTAAATGAAACAAAGGGTGAGGAAGCAACACAACTTGACCAATTCCAAACCCTTACTCTGTTGCCAGCTGGATCTGAATATTGGCCTCCCAAGATATTGATATATACCCTGGGCAGAAAGGAGATTAACAATCACAAACAGAAACACTGTAATTCAACTCTGAAATTCGCCCTAGCATTTGCTAACCAAGGGGAGTAGTAGTCTATGCTAGCCAATAGGATATAAATGATGGACAACCTCAGGTGGTAAGACTGTAGATAAAAATGGGATCAAAATCCGAATTTCTCTAGAGATTTTGTATGTTATTGTTTTTGGCTGTCACTATAGGAAGCTTACTAGTTAGATATATATCTCAAACAATAACAACCCAGTGTAGCACCTGTACACTGTAAATTATTTCCTTATATGAGATAGTATAACATTATTAGGACAAAGACTCTAGAGAGACTGTTTGAATTCATATTCCAAATTCCTAGAATGACCATATAATTTATATAAACTTTTTATAATATTGAAATTGTATACTCCATATTTTCTTTGTTTATAGGAAGAATATGATGAGCTTTGTTTTATAAATTTACTTAGGATTTTTCCCCTGAGAAGCACATGGAAAGGCATAAACCAACTATTTCTCTGAGTTGCAAATTACTGTCTAAGGACCACTAACTTAATTACATTTTCTTAAAGCCATTTTATCATTTAAAGGGAAAAGTAAAACTTCATTATAAGATGAATAAGTTCTGGGGATCTAATGTATGGCATAGTAATTATACTTAATAATACTATGTCAAATACAAAAAAGTTGCTAACGGAGTGTATATTAAATGTTCTCAGTACAAAAAATGGTAATTAGGTGGCATGATGCAGGCATTAACTGTGGTGGTAAGCATTGCGCTATTTTTAAGTGTATCAAATCAACATTGTTGTACACCTTTAAATTACACAACCTTGTATGTCAATTATATCTCAGTAAAGTTGGAAAAAATAAAAGGAAAAATAAAATTTCACAAACTTGAAAAACACAATGGGAACAGGAGGAAACTAGAAGCCTACCAAACATTTCCATTGGGATGATAGCAGGAACTTCTGCCAGAAGAATCCAGCACTGCCAGGATAGCAGGGTTAGTGGGCATGTCTTCTTGGACTATACAAGTGAAACCATTTTTCTTGTTGGGCACTCGGATGATGGCTAGGTTTCCAGATGGGTAGCTGAGATCAGATAAGGTCATTGTTCTAATGGCTCTTGGTTATTCTGGAAACAAATTCAATTTGTAAGAGAGCCCTTTGAAAATGTAAAGCATTCTGAAAATGAGAGGTACTGTTTTTAGTTTTTAAATGTTATGCTTTTTATGGGGATCAAAATATATTTATAAGGCACAAAAAACCCCTCAACATAACATTAGCAAAAGGAATCTAGCATCATGTAAAAAGGATTACATGCCATAACAAAATGGAATTTATCCCAGGAATGCAAGGTTGGTTTAACATTTGAAAATCAATTAATGAAATATACTATATTGACAGAATAAAGAGCAAATAAGAAAACATAATAAAGCCCTAACCAGTGTGACTCAGTGGATTGAGTGCCAGCCTGTGAACCAAAGGGTCGAGGGATTCGATTCCCAGTCAGGGTACACGCCTGGGATGTGGACCAGGTCCCTAACAGGGGGCGTGCACAAGAGGCAACCACATATTGATGTTTCTCTCCCTCTCTTTCTCCCTCCCTTCCCCTCTCTCTAAAAGTAAATAGATAAAATCTCTAAAAAGATAAAGAAAACATAATAAAGACTGAGTGTTTTCCTTTTAAGATCAGGAACTAAACAAAAATGTCCACTGTCCCCACTTCTATTCAACATTGCACTGGAGGGTCTAGTCACAGCAATTTTATCAAAGAGAAGAAATGAAAGGCATCCAGATTGAAAATGGGCGAAGTAAAATGGCCCCTATTTTCAGAAGACTCTCATACACAGAAAGTCCTAAGGAATCTGTAAAACAATATAATAGAACTAACAAATTAGTAGGATTGTTGGCTACTAAATTAATATATAAAAATAAATTGTATTATTACACTTTAGCAATCAATATTCTGAAAGTGAAATTAAGAAAACAATTTGATTTATATACCATAAAAAAGAATCAAATATACTGAGGATAACTTACTAACTGCTAATACTTAGTCCTATCTAAGCTGACTGGAAGTCCAGAGATGAAGTAAACACAGGATTGATAATGAATCATATTGAAAATGAGCCACACAGTCTTCAAGAGTTAAGAATTAAAGTCAGGGCATGAAGTGATAACTATCAATAATAATAAAAGTTGCAGGAGTTATTTAAAATTTATGGGTCCAATTAAAACAAAACCTACACTCTTTCTCCTAGGGTCTAGAGAACTAAAACTTCATTACACTTCCTATGCCATGAAAGTCATTCTTCTGGTTTATTATTGAGGTTTAACTAAACATTTAGGAATCTATACTAAAAATGACTTTCTCCTACAAAGTGTGGCCCTTGATTCACCAAAAAGTCTTCCTCATTTCATGATTTTTTTGGTTGGTTTGTTTTATTGTTTTCCTCAAAATATTAAATAGCTTTTATGTCAAAATACCAAGTGACCTGGCTATCAGGCAGAAGTTCATGTGATTGATAACTTAGTGCTCTGTAAAATGGATGTTCAATTTTTGTATTAAAAAAATTACATGCTGCTCATGGATGTGTAAACTGCTGCACATTTCCTGGGGGCAAGTCTATCAAAGCTTTAAAATGTCCATAACTTCTTACCAAGAATTTCTATCCCTAATCCAAGGAAATAAGTGATAAATACATAAGGAAATGTGCACACAGCTGTTCACTTCACTGTGTACGCACAGCAAAAAACTGTGTAACAACCTTTGTTTAGTCACATGAGACAGGTTAAATGAATTATAGTATGTTTCTATAATTCATGGTATGAAATACCATGTGGCTATAAAATGGTATTATATTTCTGTATTTATTGCACATTACATACCCATAACATTATATATTCCATAATATACATAAAGGGGACAAGTGAAAAAATATGAATAGTTTAAAAGCTGATTTTAAAAAATTATATGCCCATAGGAAAAAATAAGAAAACATATATGAAAAGATCTTAACAGTTCTTTTTGCGGGGTGGTAGAATTTGGGAATAATAACTATTTTGAAAATATTTTTCTATGTATTTTTTCTTTATCTTTTTGTGAAGAAATAATGCTAATAAAAGTGACTTGTTGCTAGAAAGGATACAATATTTGTGTTGTCCCATCTGGAAATGAAGTCAGAAACTTGCTCCCATGTTTATAGTGCTTCTCCAAGAGCTCGTTTCTCACGATCTATAAATCACCAGAATAAAAGGACACTTACTTGTTAATTGTTTAAGATAGAATTCATTAAGTATGACAACAACAGACATCCTTTGCTTGCTAGACAGTGACACAAATCATTTCTTAATTTAAACTTTTTGCCTTGCTTCAGCAACAGGGAACAATCTTTAGAAATTATTAAAAATTTTCCCCAACCCCTGTAGATAGATTGATATAAGCTTCTGGCAAAATATCTGACATTACATATCTACTTGAAAGGTTTTTGTTTTATGTTACACGCATATAAAAAACAAAACAAACAGAAGATAAAACCCAGACCTACTACAATGGAAATTCAGGGTTGGGCAGAAGTAAGGCTTGTTTGAGTGTGGTCCGTAGGGTATGTAAATGTCTTACAAGAGACGGACAGCAATTTGAACATTTCACCTAAAATGCCATATGGTATGCTTGAGTGTGATATTGTTATGCTACAGAATTACATGCTTATGATTTGTAATAAAAGATTTTGTAGTAAAAAAAGGGGACGTTATTTGTGCCAGACCCCTATATTCTATATCCTGATTGAAGCAGTGGTTACACTGTCAAAATTCATAGAGCTGTACATCTTAAGAAGGTAAATTTTTCTCTATGTAAATTATACTTCAGTAAAATGACGTTGCACCCCAGTAACTGCAGCATCTGGTGTCTCTTCAAGGTTGATCTTGAAGTTCATCTGAGCAAAATGCTAGTGAAGTATGAAAAGATGAAGAAAAATACAGGGAGCTATTCCTTATTTTATGTCCAAGTTGAACACTTTTATAGGTAATATTCCATAGGGAGATGAATTTGTCCCCAACAATATTTTAGAATAAAATAAAATTCAATTTTATTATATTTATTTGTAATCTTGAATTGTGATAAAATGGATACAGGAGTTCCTAGGACTAAACAGTGAAACAACCTAAATTTTAATGAAAATGTTGCCATTTATTTTAGAAGATATACATTTTTAACTTTTAAAATTTATGAAATATGAAGTACATTCAGATATGTGCTAAAACATGCTATTTTGTTCATCAATAATTATAAAATAAACACCTGTGTTATCACCACCCAAGTCAAGAAAGAGAACCATGCCGATACTCTAGAAGCCCTCAGTGTGTCTGTCCCAGTCAGTATCCTTTCTAGACATAAGCACTAGTATGACTGCAAAATAATTTCTTCACTTTAATAATTTCTAAACAATATAGTTTATTTGTTTGTTTTCTTTCATTATTGAGCAGATAATGAAGGAAAACTTCCTCAATCTGGCAAAGGAAATAGACTTCCAGGAAGTCCGGGAAGCTCAGAGAGTCCCAAAGAAGTTGGATCCAAGGAGGAGCACATCAAGACACATCATAATTACATTACCCAAGATTAAAGATAAGGAGAGAATCTTAAAAGCAGCAAGAGAGAAGGAGACAGTTGCCCACAAAGGAGTTCCCATAAGACTATCAGCTGATTTCTCAAAAGAAATCTTACAGGCAAGAAGGGGCTGGAAAGAAATATTTGAAGTTATGAAAGGCAAGGACCTACAGCCAAGATTATTCTATCCAGAAAGCTATTTTTTGGAATGGAAGGGCAGATAAAGTGCTTCCCAGGTAAGGTCAAGTTCAAGGAGTTCATCATCACCAAGCCATTATTATATGAAATATTAAAGGGACTTATCTAAGAAAAAGAAGTTCAAAAACTATGAACATTAAAGTGGCAATAAACTCATAACTATCAACATCTGAACCTAAACAAACAAAAAACTAAGCAAACAACTAGAACAGGAACAGAATCACAAAAATGGAGATCATATGGAGAGTTATTAGCAGAGAGCAGGAGGGGGAGAATGGGGCAGGGGGAAATGTACTGGGAAGAAAAAGCATAATTGGTAGGTATGAAATAGACAGGGAAAGGTTAAGAGTAGTATAGGAAAAAGAAGCCAAAGAACTTATATCTACAGCCCATGGACATGAACTAAGGGGGGGTGCGGATGCTAGAGGGTGGAGGGGTACAGAGCACAAGGGGATAAAGGGGATAAAAAATTGGGACAACTGTAATAACATAATCAATAAAATATACTTAAAAATATAGTCTTATTTTTCACATTTTAAATTTTACACAAATGGAATCATACATTATGTATTTTTAGTATTTTACTTTTCTCTCAACATTTTTTATAAGATTCATACCTGTTCAGGTGTGTAGCTGTAGTCCAATACTTTGATTTGCGTGTTATAAAAAATGATACTATGAACATTCTTATGCGTGTGTGCTTGTACCCAGTTCCACTCAGGTATTATACTCAGAGGTGGAATTGTTGAATCCCAAGATAATGCCAAAGTGATTTCCAAGTTGTACCAATTTACATTCCCACTAGAGGCAAATAATAGCGATTGTTGCTCTATAGCCTTTCCAACACTGTTCTATCAGACTTGACTTTTTTTTGCCAATATGATATGTATGTACTGATTTCTAATTGCAATTTTAATTTTCCTTTGCCAGGTTACTAATGAGGTTGAGCTCATTTACATATGTTTATAGATCATTTGAATTTTCTCCTTTGAGAAGTATAAAAGATTTTTGAGCTCATTTTCTATTAAGTGGAATTTTTTCCATGTCTTTTTACATTTAGGATATAAACCCTTTGTATGTCACACGTGTGGTAAATATTTACCCTTTCATGGCTTATCTTTCACAACTTTAATTTTAATTTATCAAATCTTTCATGGATACTGCTCTTTTCATCAGCTAGTAAATCTTTACCTAACCTGAGGTAATAAAGCTATTCTCCTATATAAAAGAGATCTTTGTAGTTTTGTATTTCACATTTAGGTCTTTAATCCACTTGGGATTGATTTTTACATATGTTATTGGATAGTGGTTCCAATTTCACTAAAACATATGGATACTTGACTCTCCCAGCACCATGTATTGAGATTTTTCCCTTCTATCATTTTACAGTGTTCTTGCTCTCATAAATCAGATGTTTATGTATGTATGAGTCTGCTTCTGGGATCTTTATTCTTTTTTTATTCTTCCCAAACATTACACTGTGTTAATTACTATATTTTGTAATAGATCTTAATATATGGTAGAGCATGTCCTTCCCTCCCAGCCTTCTCCTGCTCAAGACTGCCTTGCCTATTCTAGATCATTTATATTTCCATGTAAATTTTAGAATCATCTTGTCAATACCTCCTTTTTCTAAACATACATGAATATCCAATCCTGTTAGAATCCTGGTAGAATTTGAAATTTAGGAGAATGTCATTTTTAAAATAGTTAATCTTCCAATCCATGAACAAATTTGTTAAATGGGTTATGCAAATATTCTATTGTATTATTGCTCCTTTTTGGTCTAATAGTCCTCTGAATTGTGAGAGAGGTAAGTTTAAGTGTCCAATTATGATTATGGATTTACATTTTTTCTTTTATTTCTTTAAATTCTTTTACACATTTTGAGGCTATGTTAATATGGGAAAATATTTTGTAATGTAATATCTTCCTGGTGGATTACAACTTTTATCATTATGAAGTGATCCTCTTTATTTCTAGTAATGCTCTTTAGTATTTTCATGTTATATTATTTTTATTTATTTATATTTAATCATTTTGTATCCTTATATTTTAGATGTATCTTTGATAAACAGTAAATGGTTGAAATTTTTCTTTTATAAAAAAATGACAGTTTTTGTCTATTAACTGGAGTATTTAGTCTATTTACATATAATTACCAACATTCCTTGATGCTTTCTATCTGTCCCTTATTATCTGTTTTTCTTCTCTCTTATCCTTTTTTGCCTTTTGGGAGCATTTAACATAAATTATTCTTTTTTTTGCTCTACCTCTAGTAGCTAGGGAGTTATGCTCTCTGCTTCTGTTATTTTTCTGGCTAGTCTAGAAATTTCAGCAAGCAAAGTTAATTTATCAAAGTCTGAAGTTAAACTTTGTATTTGCCATGCTCCCAATGAGGGACTTCAGAACACTAACTGGATTTAGCTTTCTTCCAAAATCAGGTACTATTTTGTCATTCATTTTTACTCTATTGTGTTTTCTGAAATTCCATGATCCATTATTATTTTTGTTTTATCAGTCAATTTGCAGTTTTATCCATATATATCATATAACACTTTCTTTGTTCTTCATCTTTCTTGAATATCAGACCACCCAATTACACAAAGAACATTCTTTAAAATTTCCTTTAGTGAGGGACCACTAGAGACAAACTTTCTTTGTTTTTGCCAAACAGTGTCTTTTGGGGGCACATTTTCCTGACTTGTAGGTATAGACTTGTAGATTGACTTATTTTCTTACAGCACACTGAAGACATTTCATTGTCTTCTGGCTTCTATTGTTGCTGTTAGGAAATCATTTTATAATCTTACTGTCCTCCTTTAAATGTAAATAGAACCTTTTTTTCATCTGCTTTCAAATTTTTCTTTCTTTGGTGCTCTGCAGTTTCACTGTGAAGTGTCTAGAAGTTAAAAAATTATCATCCTGCATGGGATGCATTGGACTTCTTAATCTTGTGGATCAGTCTCTTTTATCAGTTTTGGAAAATTATCCATTATCTCTTCAGATACTACCTCGGCCTGATTATCTTTCTCCTCTCCTTCTGGGATTTTGAATAAATACATTTCAGATCCTTCATTTTATTTTCAAATCATATACTCTCTTCTGTTTTCCTTATCTTTTTTTTTCCCCATGGTGGATTTTGATAATTTTTTAACCTTTTTTCCAAGTCATTAGTTTTCTCTTTAATTAGCTCTAACCAGTGTTTAACTCTCATCTTTTAAGTTTCTTCTTTTTATTTCAGTTGCTGTTGTTTTCATGTCTATAAGTTTATTTTTTTTTCTTTTCAAACCTGTGTGACACACCTTAAGTGCCCAGCTTGGGTGATCAGGGAGGCTGTGCTACTGGCCCCTACCGAACACCTACTACACAAGGCCATGCTACCAGGAGGAGGTCAGACTCTGTTTCGCAGAGTACACTCCAGGTCGTCACAGATGGGGAAATAAAATGAGACGTCCCAGACACTTTTCTCTCAGTCTGCCAGGGGAAGGGGGTGGCACTTGCCTCTAGTGGAGAAGGCCCTGAGCCCCTATGCTCAATGGCTTTTATTGAGAACCATACGCGCAAGGGTACACAGCAAGGATGCAAAGCTCATCAATCAATGTCAAAAGCTATGTTTACAGAAAACAAATAGAGATCATAGATAGCAATTGAAGGAGCACAAGATATTTTCCTCAGGTCAGGGACTGGTAGACAGGGTGGCGCCCATTCAGCCCTGAAACCTGGGAAACTGATCACATTCTATGCTTAACTTCAAACATCAGCACTCATTAACTGCAGGGAATTCTTAGCAAAGTAACTTTCATAGGATCTAGTGCATTCCTTTTCCAGACCTAACTGTCCCTGGGAACTGTCCGATCCAGTTCAGCACCCTACCTTTAGAATTGTTTCAAGCCTGAGCCAGGAGGGTGGGGCAGAACTGCCAAGAGATAAGGACACTTCTTTCAGATAGAACAAGGACTCCGGCCATATCAAAGCCAAGGGGAGAGGGTCTTTCTCTCCTTCTCCATGTCCCCCAAGTCCTTCCCTGATGGCCCCTATGCGACTGTACCTGTCTTAGGTTGCCCCTGCCACTGAGGGGTTTTACCCGTCATTGACTAACCAGCCATCCTCTGGGGCCAAGCAGGGTGCTGTGAGGGAGGCAGGAGCCACACCCCTGCAGGTGGGCAGGTCTTGTCTCCTCAGTGGCCTATTTTCCCAAGGCCTCCTTGCTCAGTTCCAGCCTCAGGGTCCTCTTGCCTGTTGGCGAGGCTACAGTCCCTGAAACCACGCGGGATGGTTCCCAACAGTTGGTAGCTCTACCTAATACATGGAAACAAACATAGGAAGGATGCCACAATGAGGAGACAGAGAAATATGGCCCTAATGAAAGAGCAGAGCAAAACTCCAGAAAAAGAACTAAACAGAACGGAGACAAGCAATCTACTAGATGCAGAGTTCAAAAAACTTGATAAAAATGAGAACTTCAACAGCATAAAAAGAACCAGTCAGAGATGAAGGATATATTAACTGAAATGAAGAATAATTTATATGAAATCAACAGTGGAGTAGATGAAGCCGAGAATCAAACCAGCATTTTGGAATATAAGGAAGCAAAACACACCCAATCAGAACAACAAGAAGAAAAAAGACTCCAAAAAAAAAAGAAATAAGAATAGGGTAAGGAGCCTTTGGGGCAACTTTAAGCATACTAACATTTGCATCACGGGGGTGGCTAGGCAGAGAAGAGAGAGAACAAGAAATTGAAAACCTCTTTGAAAAAGTAATGACAGGAAACTTCCTTAACTTGGGGAAGGAAATGAACAAGTTCAGGAAATGCAGAGTCCAAAACAATGTGAACACAAAGAGGCCCACATTAACACATCATCATAATTAAAATGCCAAAGGTTAAAGATGAAAAGAGAATCTTAAAAGCAACAAGAGAAAAACCAGTTTAATTACCTACAAGGGAGGTCCCGTAAGATTGCTGGCTGATTTCCCACCGGAAACTTTGCAGGCCAGAAGGGATTGGGAAGAAATATTCAAAGTGATGAAAAGCAAGGACCTACAACCAAGATTACCCAGAAAAGCTATTATTTAGAATCAAAGGAAAGATAAAGAGCTTTCCAGGCAAGAAAAATCTAAAAGAGTTCATCACCATCAAACCAGTATTATATGAAATAATAAAGGGTCTTCTTTAAGAAAAAGAATTTAAAAAATCAAATATATGAACAATAAAATGGCAATAAATACATATCTATCAAGAATTGAATCTAAATAACTAAATAAATGAACATGCAGAATAGAAAGACTCATAGGCACAGAGAACATTTTGAGTTGCCAGATGGGAGCAGAGGTTAGGGTGAAGGATGAAAAAGGTGAAGGGATTAAGAAGTACAAATTGGTTGTAACAGAATAGTCGTGGGCATGTAAAATACAGCATAGGAAACATAGTCAATAATATTCTAATAACTGTGTATGGTGTTAGATGAGTACAAGATTTGTTGGGATGATCACTTAATAAGTCATGCAATGTCTAATCAATGTCTTAGTAAGTTATGCAATGTCCATACAACTGAAACTAATATAATATGTCAACTGTAAATTAAAAATAAATAAATAACTTAATTAATTAATTAATTAATAAATAAAAAGTTAGATTACTTAGGTTTCCAAAGTCTTTGGAGGTCTTTTCTTTTTGGACATTATTTCTCTGGATTTTTTTATTGTGGTATTGAGTATCCTTGTGTTCTTGATTCTTTACATATGTGCTGGTAATTAAATTTGAAGGATAATTGGGAGGAGTAATTTCGAGGGCTGGATGACTAATCTTCCTCCAGACATTATTTGGATTTGATTTTGTCAGTTACCTCAGTAACACTGCCACCCCTTAAATTCTTGTCACCCAAGAGAAACAAGCCCGGTCTCAGTAATTTAATTTCTAGGAATCTATTCGGAGGATCTATACTATATAAAAATAAATTTATACACAAAGATATTCAAAGCAATATTATTTAGTAATGTAAAAAAATATTAATAACATGTATGTCCAACATTAGGGGAAGGGTTAGATAAACTATATGGAAAAGCATATAGATGTTAATGTTAATATAAGCTTCACAATATCATGGAAAATATTTTTTATAACTGAGTTTAAAAAGAGGTAAAAATTATATACATAATAATAATTACAAGTACGTTAACAAAAACCTAGGCATATAAAAGTCTAGGATGGTATTATCTAATATAAATTTTGATGACCATAAAAATGTTCTATATCTGTCTTGTAATATAGTAGCCATTTGTTACACACAGTTATTTAACATTTGACATGTGGCTAGTGCAACATTTAAATGAAAATTACATTTTAAACTTTATTTAATTTTAATTACTTTAAATTCAGCCATATGTAATAGTACTGTATTGGCTAGTGCAGGTCTAGAAAGTATTGAAATGTTAATAATGATTTTTGGTGATATTTTTTCCTTTCTGTTTAGTTTTCAAAGGGTTCCAAATGTTCCTTAATGTATAATTATCACATGTTAAAGTAAAAAGTTTTTAACTGAACTAGTCTCCTATGAAACATATGTAAAATATTTTTGTAAAGTCTGGTAGAAGTCAAAAGACTAAGTCTATACCAATTCTTTTTGACAAATATTTCAATGTGTCATGTACATAAGCTGCCATATTTATCATGACAACTTTTATAACTTTAGGTAAAATAATTTTTAAAGAGTAGCAAGTAAAAAAAATTACAAGCTACTTACCTTTCCACATGCTGTACTAGAATCACAACAGGCAATGGATACGTTTCTTTTGTCTAGTTGAAAATCAAATAGTCTATCTTCAATTATCTCTTCTTTTGGAATATCCACAGACAGTTGATAAGAAATTGTTTTAAAGTGTTTTGACTCTAATGGGAAAAGAATCACATGAAATTACATATATGTTTTAAAATTTCCAAAACCTCTATTCTAAAATGAAAATTTAAACTCTATTACAAATGTATTGATTTATCAGACTTTTTTAATGGAATAAAAATGAAGACCTTTATTAAATTAAAGCGAAGACCTTCTTTTGTTAAAAAATTAATGAGATCATTCCTTTGTTAAAAGAAGAAAAGAAATGATCGTTTTCATTAAGTGCAATTTTCTGGCTTTATATTTAGTAGGAAACAGTTGAATATCAAGGAAATTCATACTAGAGATTTAGTTTAAAAAACAAAAACAAAAATATATCTCCTCTAAGTATCTTTTATTCCTACTTTATTTTTTTATTGCTTATTCTATTATAGTTGTCCCACGTTTTTCCTTTTTGCCTTCCTCCTCTAAGTATCTTTTCAATAGCACTGAGTTGTAGAAGAGGAGCTGATGCTCAGAAAGATTAAATAATTTATCCCAAAGTAGAAAAGCAAGGCTATAAATTCAGAACTTCTGGAGCTGGAGACTATGATGCTAAGTGAAATAAGCCATTCGGTGAAAGATAAATACCATGTGATCTCACTTATAAGAGAAATCTAGTGAAAGAAATAAACTAATGAGCGAAACAGAACCAGGGACATGGAAACATGGAACAGACCGACAGCTGCCAGAGGAAAGGGGAGAGGAGGCAGAGAATGGTGGAAAGGAGATGGGGGTAGTCAAAAAACGTGTATGAATGACCCATGGTCATGGACAACAGTGTGGGGGTTGACTGTGGGGGTGGGGGGCTGGATCGAGGAAGGCAGGGGTAGAAAGATTGGGATGAAACACTGGATTTTCTGAGCCATTTTGACTAATGCACTAACTGTAATGAGAACTTTAAAAGGTGTTTGTTTTTTTTTAAATATGCCAGTTTTAGCTCTTGGTCAAACATATGAGATTTCTGATGTACAATTGATCTATAATATGAGCATTGTTGAACTCACCTTCCTCAGAGACATTAATAAATTCATTTGTTCTTATTGCTAAATGTTTGGCCATTTTTTGCTCCTGTTTTCTGCAAAATAAAAAAAAAAGATTCATAAATATGAAATGTGTTTCAAGCTTAAAACAGTATACTACAAATTTTAACTGTTTAAATGTCATCCCTTGTGATTTTTATTTATTACTTGTGACTCCCGTCATTTAATCACAGCACATGGGTCTCTATTCTGTTTTGTGGACTAATTTCTCCAGTATAGGAATCCTGAATTGAATTCTGAGAACTGGGTTGGTAAATTTCTACTTTCAATCAGTGAGTTCACTGAGTTTTGGGGAGCCTCTGAGTCGCAAAACACTCACCAGGAATTGTAATAGGTTTGCTTTGGCCAATTTTATATCTTCACTGAGAATATATCTTTGAAATTATGTATTTTTGAAAAACAAGGTTCATTTTTCAAAAAGCTCTCTAAGTGGACCTATTTGAGTTTCAATATCAAGGCTCAGTGTTACCTCCGCAGGGCTGTTTCCTTTGCTTTGAGTCTGTCAGCCTCACTGCCATAGGCTGCATGAGGGTTGATACAGATTAATTCAGTTTTAGAGCTTTTGATTTTTCGTTTTTCTTCATAGATGTAGTCAATCAGATTTTGGAAATAACTACAACAGGGGACCTGAAAAACAAAGAGGTCATTTTCATCTCATTAGTCCTTGAATGAAGATAATTAGAGGGGGTAAAAACCAAAAATCGCTAATGGGGTTTGAATTACAATCTAGCATAATATTTTTGGTAACAAACTAACAAAATAATTTATATACCATACAATTCTCCCATTTAAAGTCTGCAATTCAATGGATTTTAGTATATGTAGTTGTGTAACTATCACCACAATCAATTTTAGAACAGGAAAACTGTATCCATTAACAGTTACCCCCTACCCTCCTTTCCTTTCAGCCCCTGGCAACCACTAATCTGTTTTCTGTCTCTGTCGATTGTCTGTTCTATACATTTTATATAAATGGAATAATGCAATATGTGGTACTTTGTGATTGCCTTCTTTTACTGAGCATAATGTTTTCAAGTTTCTTCTATGATGTAGCATGTATAAGTATTTCAATTCTTATGGCTGAATAATATTTGATTTTATGAATACATCATATTTGCCCATTAATCAGTTGAAGGGCATTGCATTGTTTTAATCCTTTGGCCGTTATAAAGCATGCCGCTGTGAATATTTGTGTGCAAGTTTCTGTGTGGACATATGTTGTCAATTTTCCTTGGTATGGAATTTTCTGAGAATGGAATTGCTGGGTTATATGGTAATTATATGTTTAACTTTTTGAGGAACAACCAGACTTTTTTCCCAACATGGCTGCACCATTTTATATTCCCCTTCAGCAATGTATGAGGGTTCCAGTTTCTCCACATCCTTGTCAAAACTTGTTATTATCTGTCTTTTTTTATTATAGCCATCCAAGTGGGTGTGGAGTGGTATCTTATTGTGGTTATGATTTGTGTTTCCCAGACAGCTAACACAAAACTGTTAAGAATGGCAACACAGGGAAAAGATGCAGGAGAAAATACTATATACATTTAAAAGTGGTATTTAAAAATAACACTATTTCCTCTGGAAATCTTTGGAACTTACACGTTCTATTGGCTCAGAGCTACTGTTGTCACAAGAAAAATCCACTATGGAAAGAAATGTTCTCAGATCACTCCCACAGAATTCACACTTGAGCAGTATCTCCTCCTCTTCTTCCTTCAGAGAGGAAGGGAAAAAAAATGAAGTCCTGCTCATTAGAACCTCTGAGAGCAGCCAGAGCCAGGGCTCTGGGCAGGGCCAGCGAGTGTCCAGTGGGACAGCAGGAATGATATGGATGTGCAAATCTACGTGAGAACTCCTGTCAGACACCCTAGAGACTCCCAGGAATAGTTGATGGGAAACTTTCAGGAGGCTGTGATCTTGTACTAGAAGGCTCCAAGCGAGTGAGATCTGTATATTCCAGAATGGAACATCACTTCTGTTCAAGAGTGGGTGAGGACTGAGGATGCTGGGGTGGTGTTTTGAGGGACTTTGTCTGGTGCAGTTCACCAGAGCACAGCTGAGCTCACCAGGAGCTGTGTGGGTCCTTTGGATGCCACCTTAAGTGTAAGAAGAAATGATTGTTAACTTCAGAGTCCTTTGTTGGGGAGGGGGATATACAGTGTGTAACTAGATGCAAGACACAGAAGATAACACATACCAGATTTTAGGCAAATAATCTAAGGAGTTTGAATACCATTTTTCAAGAAGCATCAGGTTAAAAAAAATTTTGACATCACTATGTAGGCTACCATTTACAATGATCAACTTTCTAAATTACAATTCTTTCTCAAGGGGAAACCCAGGCACAGGCTCTGGATTCTCCTGTCTGGACTATGACGGTAATTCAGGAGGAGGAGAGGCAGGCCAGGGGGAGCAAAAAGGAGATCTGGAGCTGGGTGCTCAGGTGACTCAGTGAGGGGCTGAGGCACCATGGCTATGTTGGTGATCTGAGGGCATGGTGGCGAGCAGGCAAGCCTCAGCACAGGCCTGCAGGAAAAGCCTGAGGTCCTGACTGACAGGTCATGAACACCACCAGGGCATCTACAGAAACCACCCTCCGGGACTGGCAAAGTGGCCACTGAGGGGGCCAAAGTGCAACCAAGGTACCAGTGCCATCAGGGATTTACTACCCTGAAGTTCTGTCCAATGCCTTTAGGCCACTGAAACTACAAAGTAATAGAGCTAAAAGCAGAAGACTTAGTGGGTGGCACAGCAAAGCCTCGTAATAGAAAGATGGTGGTGTAAAATCTAGGACAGCCACCGCATGATGGAGCAGGGCAGAGGAGAGCTTGACAAAGCCTGGCCATCTCCAACCTGTTTCATACAACGGCCTGGGTAGTGAGCTCCTCAGCCCGAGTTCCCTTTATGCCTTCACCTGGGGTGAAGCAAGGTGGAGATGCTTCAAAGGAGCATGGGTAGGCCTGCAAGCTGCACTTGAAGAGGGTATAGCTGGACAGGAAGGCAGGTAAGCCAGCTGCTGCTGCCCCTGAACTGACTAGTGTTAAAGTCCCATCGCAGAGGACCTGGAAGGTCCGTCCAAAGAGCAGGAGGAGCCAGCCTTCCCAGGTGCTAGTGCAGGGACAGCTCCCTGGAAGAAAGGCCACAAGTCCTTCCTCAAGGTCAAGCCCTCTTCTGGGTGTCAGAGGAAGAAAGCTCAAGAAGCTTCCCTGGATATAAGCCTTTGTGGTTCAGAAGAAGGAAGGTGCTATGTTTGAATAAAAAATTTCAACTCTAAGAGTCAATAGGGTGACCAAAATGGGAGACCTGGACTAAATAAACACAGTCAGTGTTGATTGATATGAAATGACATGATATATTTAATGTGTTGCCCATCACTAGAATAGCACAGTTCAATGTGCTGCACAAAATGGCAACACACACATCACACCAGGGCTTCTGTGCAGCATTCCCCTCAACTCCTGCGCATGCCTCTGCAATGTGCTGTCTCACATGACTGTCTCTTTTTTCAATGAAAAAGCCTGCACCTTTAGTGCACACGGGAGAAGTAATCAAAGGGGGTCCAATCTGGGGGCTGCGCGGCTCTCTCCACACGGCCATAACAGCCAAGTTTGGAAAGAAGCATTCCACCAGTCAGTACCTCCCCACCCTGGTGAAGCAGAGCCATGTGCCATCCTGTTGGAATTACTAAGGTGATCCTTTCCTTGCCCATCAAGCAAGGCATTAATTGGCCACTTAACATGATCAAATATAGCACACCTATATTCCATCTATGTTTCCAGGCTTTATGGCCACTGTTATAGGTTGAACTGGGTCTTCCCAAAAGACACATTGAAGTCCTAACTCCTGATACCTGTGAATGTGGCCTTATTTAGAAATGGGGTCCTGCAGATGTAATCAAGTTTAGATGAGGTCATTAGAGTGTGCTTTAATCCAGTATGACTGGTGTCCTTGGAGAAGAGAGGCTTTTGGACACAGACACACACAGAACGCCAGGACAACTTTGACAGAGACTGGAGCGATGCAGCTACAAGCCAAGAATAAGGACTGATGATCACAACCAGAAGCTAGGAGGAGGCAAGAAAGGATTCTCTCCTACAGTCTGGACTTGCTGACTCCTTGATTTTGAACTTCTAACTTCCAGAACTGTGAGACAATATGTTTTTGTCCTTTCAAGTCACCCAGTTTGAGGTACCTTGTGACAGCAACCCTAGGAAACTAATATAGCCACCCTGAGTGCTATTTCAAGTAAATGGGTTCTTTGCCTGTTTTTTAAAGTATGTTCACTGTCTTTTGTGCAAATCATCATGTGGCTTTTCACATCATTTATTACACTAAAGAAAAAAAAAGAATTAAAATCACCTCGAAGTCAATGCCGAAGTTGGAATTCTCTCGTTTGAATGCCAGAAAGGATGGTGGCCCAACGCTTGGTAACGTTCTCAGAGAAGGCTCAAACAGGGTTATGAAGTCTTCCTTAAACTAAATTTTAGAGAGAGAGAGAGACAGAAAGAGAAAATTGAAGAATGACTAAGTGATCTTTACCAAGAGCAGTTTACTAGTTGGACTGATAAACATTTCTTACCTCCAGCTCACATAAAATACTGAGTTTTGGCTCTTCTGGACTAATTATCTGTTTTTCTGAGGAGAAAAGGATAGATTTAGAAGGAAAGTTTGAAGGCTTTGTGCAGTGTATCCCATTTTCTCTAGTTTGGAGATCCCAGCACATCTCTCTCTCTCTCTCTCTCTCTCTCTCTCTCTCTCTCTCTCTCTCACACACACACACACACACACACACACACACAGACTTGCTCATGCACACACACACTGTTTAAATACCCTGAAGCTACCTTTTCACCACCTTCTTGTGCATATATTCTTAGGGGAGGGCTTTTTTTTTCTTTTTTAAAAAAATATTTTACTATTTACTTTTAGAGAGAGGGGAAGGGATGGAGAAAGAGAAGGAGAGAAACATCACTGTGAGAGGCATGGATCAATGGTCTCGGACATGTGCCCCAACTGGGGATGGAATCTGAAACCCAGGTTTGTGTCCTGACCAGGATTTGAACCAGCAACTTTTGGCTTCACTGGTCCCAACCAACTGAGCCATGTTGGGCAGGATGTTGGAGGAATTTTCTAAAGGGAGTGGGCACCATCCAGGTTAAGATTGGTTCCCTAAAGGTAGTTTGATTTGCCAGCAGAGGGGATAACTCCAAACATTCATTCACCTCTTAACTTAGCAGCTTTATTTTCAGGTTTAGTTTTCTTCATTGTAGAGGATTTTTTCATTCCTGTAAAAAGAATGTACATTTATTATTTTTTAATATATATTTTATTGGTTATGCTAATGCAATTGTCCCATCTTTCCCTCCCCTTTATCCCCCTCCACCCCGCACCCACCCTCCCACCAGCATCATCCCCTCCTTAGTTCACATCCACAGGTCGTACATATAAGTTTTTTGGCTTCTCTATTTCCTATACTATTCTTTACCTCCCCCTGTCTATTTCGTACCTAACATTTATGCTTCTTATTCCCTGTACATTTTCCCCCATTCTCTCCCCTCCCCCTCCCCACTGATAATCCTCCATGTGACCTCCATTTCTGTGATTCTGTTCCTGTTCTAATTGTTTCCTTAGTTTGTTTTTATTTTTGTTTTTGTTTTTTAGGGTCAGTTGTTGATAGTTGTGAGTTTGTTGTCATTTTACTGTTCATAGTTCTGACCTTTTTTTTCTTAGATAAGTCCCTTTAATATTTCATATAATAAGGGCTTCATGATGATAAACTCCTTTAACTTGGCCTTATTGGGGAAGCACTTTATCTGCCCTTCCATTCTAAATGATAGCTTTGCTGCATAGAGTCATCTTGGATGTAGGTCCTTGCCCTTCAGGACTTTGAATACTTCTTTCCAGCCTCCTCTTGCCTGCAAGGTTTCTTTTGAGAAATCAGCTGATAGATTTATGGGAACTCCTTTGTGGGCAACTGTCTCCTTCTCTCTTGCTGCTTTTAAGATTCTCTCCTTATCTTTAATCTTGGGTAATGTAATTATGATGTGCCTTGGTGTATGCTTCCTTGGGTCCAACTTCTTCAGACTCTCTGAGCTTCCTGGACTTCCTGGAAGTCTATTTCCTTTGCCAGATTGGAGAAGTTCTCTTTCATTATTTTTTCAGATAAGTTTTCAGTTTCTTGCTCTTCCTCTTCTCCTTCTGGCACCCCTATGATTTGGATGTTGGAAAGTTTAAAATTGTTCTAAGCCTCTTCTCATTTTTTTAAAATTCTTGTTTCTTCATTGGGTTCTGGTTGGATGTTTATTTCTACCTTTTGTTCCAAATCATTGATTTGAGTCCTGGTTTCCTTCCCTTTACTGTTGGTCCCCTGTATATTTTTCTTTATTTCACTTTGCATAGCCTTCACTTTTTCCTCCATTTTGCGATCCTACTCAACCATTTCTGTGAGCATCCTGATTACCAGTGTTTTGAACTGTGCGTTTGATAAGTTGGCTATCTCTCCATCGCTTAGTTCTATTGTTTCTGGAGTTTTGATCTGTTCTTTCATTTGGGCCACATTTCTTTGTCTCAGTGCTCCTATTACATTGTAAGGAGCAGAGCCTTAGGTATTCAACAGGGTAGGGCAACCCACATTGTTGCAGTGTGCTGCTGTATGTGGGGGATGGGTCAGAGAGAGAACAATATCACTTGCTCAGCTCTCTGCTGGCTTACAGTAACTTTCTGTGCTATCCACAAGCAAATTGGGTCCTTCTGGTGCTGATTCCTGGGTGGGTGGGTTTGTGTACATCCTAGGACCTCACAGGTTCTCTCCAATGAACTCTCCTGCAAGGCTGGGAGTTCCTCCCCCCATGACAACTCCCAGGTTTTTACAGCCAGAGGTTTTGAGGTGGCTTTCTTTTCCAGCACTGGAACCCTGGATTGCTCGGTCTGTCTTGCTCCCATGTTGTTCCTCCCAGTTTATCCACACATGAATGTGGGACCGCCAGCTGCCACCTTGCCCGACTAGTCCTCCAGCCACTACCTTGCTCTGAGTCCTTTCTGCTTATATGCTCATCTCTGCCTTTCCTACCCATCTGGATGAATGTTTCTTCTTTAACTCCCTGGTTGTCAGACTTCCATACAGTTTCATTTTCTGGCAGTTCTGGTTGTTTTTTTTGTTTTTGAATTTGTTGTCATCCTTCTTCTGGTTGTGCGAGGAGGCAAAGTGTATCCACCTATGCCTCCATGTTGGCCGGAAGTTCTCAGAGTGTACATTTATTATTAATCATGACAAAGTAGGAAAGAAGCCTAATATAAAATAAAATATGTCTCTTAGAAAAATAACTACCCTTATTGTATTTGTTTCAATTTTTTTTTGCCTTTTTCTAAATAACATTTTATCAACAATGAGAAATAGAGAAAAGCCACCACTCCCATATCTCACATTTAAAAATGTTTCTGTTCCTTTTTAGTACTAGAATACTCCATGGATGTATATTTTACTTGAGTATAATCATGTTTTGCAGACCCTGTTGTTTTCTGCTTCTCTTAAGTACTATTCTGTCTACTTTGTGTCAGCTATTCTATGAAAGATTTTTCAGGTAGTCAGATGCTGGGTGGGCAGTGGGGTTTAAGTTCAACAGAGTGAATTAAACCACCAGGATTATTTCCTCCACAGATTCCAGAGCAGTAATGGAAATAGTGGAGGCAGCTATCAATACACCTGCAATTTTGAGTAAATCTAGAGGTTTAAGAATATAGGATTGGAATGATGAAAAACCAATCAGAACAATCTACAATCACTCAGAGGTAAAGGGAGGAGGCGGGCCCATTTCACAGGAGGGCCTGGGAGGGCAAGGACAGCTGCTGGAGAAAGAGATAAGCTTCAGAAGATGGTACACTCTCTATGTGGACTATCTGGAAAAATTTTAAATATGTTTTAGGCATTTGTCTCACAGGAATGCAAGCACTGGCACAGTGAGATCTTAAATGGCATCAATAGGTTCTATGACTTTTAGTGAAATGACCTAAACAAAATTGATTTTACCATTGGCTAATTGGTACATAAGAAGTAAGTTCCTATGCTATCTCCTCAACATTATAATAAAATGACATTATTCAAGGACCTGCTGTATAAAAAAAAATTAATGCAAAAAGATTTTCATTAAGGCATTATTTGTTATTGGGAAGAGCTAAAGGAACAAGACCAAACCAACACTGAAATATCTAGCATACAATAACTGTATATATGGGAATACTTATCAATCTTTCCTGGATGCTAAGTAAAAATATTAAATAAGAAATAAAATTGCTGTTATTCACAGGAAATATAATTATCTAGTAGACTATTAACTGACAAATTGTTAGAATTAATAATAGGGTCAGAAATATAAGATTAATACATAGAAATCAACAGTGTTCCTATACAGTGACATAACCAATTAGAAAATGTAATGGAAAAAAAAGATTCCAATTGTTACGTCAATAAAAAAGACTAGTAATTACCTAGGAATAAACTAATAGGAGCTGTATATGAGTCCTCTGTGAAAAAGAAAACTACAAAAGAATATTCATTTTAAAAAATGGACAGGCATACTAGGTTCCTGCTGTTAAAACAATCAAACAGAAAGGCCATTTGGAGGTGGTTCCGGTGCCTTGGTGTCCTACATAGCAAACTGAAACCTAAGACAGAGTCAATTCCTGTAAATGCTTCAGGGTTATTAAGAAGAACAGCCAACTAGCCTTTCCCAAGTAATGTGACTTCGGAAGCTGTAGCCAATCAAATAATTTCTTTGCTTTGCTGGTCTGATTCTGTACAATTCGAAAGAATGTTTGCTCAAAGAAACTCTTAAACATTTGAAAAATGCCTGCTTGTCTTTTAACACTGCCAAAAAAGACCAAAGAATCAACTTGTCAAATTCTAGTGAAATACCCAATCAGAATTGCATTGACTATAGAGATTAATTTGGTAATAATTAACACCTTTTAAAATTTGGTCCATTTTTACGCTAAATTGTGTCACTCCTTTGTGCAGCCCTCCAGTGACTTCCCACTTCATTCCCACCGAAAAAGATTTGGTCCTCATTGTTTCTTTGACCTTGTCTCCTAAGACTCTCCTCCTTACATACTCTGCTGCAGCCACACAGGATATAAGGACGCCTCCTTACTCTAGAAGGAGGCGCTTGCTGTTTCCGTGCCTGGAGCACTCTTCCCCAGAGGTAATCGTGACTCACACTCCGTTCTGCTTGAGGTCTGCTCAGATATTTCAGCTTCTCAGTAAGATTTCCCTGAGTGCCCTGTGTAAGCTTGCATCCCTTGCACCCAACGTTTTCCATCCCTTTAATTGCTTGATTTTTCTTCTTAACACTTACATCACCTAATGCATTATATATTTACTTATTTTGTGTGTTATTTATCTCACCATTACTTCCAATTTCCACACTTCAATAGGAGATCATTGAGGCAGGGGTTTTGCTTGTTTTGTTCACTGCCCTGGAACAGGGTTTGGCCTATGATGGGTGCTTTGGCATATGGTAGGTGCTCAATGAGCACCTGATGAATACGTGATATAACACAAAACAAATATAAAACTTGAAAGGAAAGGCCATTCGTAAAGATTATTTCTGAAGAGTATATTGGGATAAGTTAAAGTTTAAATTTTTACATTATAATGATATATTTCTTAATGGTTTGACATTTAAAAAACAGCATGCATGTGTTACTTCTATAATAAAAAATAAAGATATGTATCAAGATAAAATGGCAGATTATTTCTTGATGTGAACATAAACGCTACCATTTATTAAAGACTGTCAGTCCTGTGACAGCAGTATAATCATTGCCAACACATGAAGAAACTGAGACTGAATGAAGTTAAGTATCTTGCTCAAATCATCACAATGTTAGTGCTGGGGCTGGGATTCCAACCTAGATCTACCGATTGCCTACATTGTGCTCTTTCCAATGTGCCATCCCATCACTCAGCAAAAGCTAAGATATCAAACTACTCACCAGGCTTCTTTTCGTTGGACAAGTCTTGAAGCTGACTTTCTTCCGTTTGGACTGACATTGGGGTTCCTGGATACGAACTGGGATTAATTGTCCTGAAATTTAGGCAAAACATTATTTTTGAGTATACCCACGTAGTTTTTAGTAATTCTTCTAAATAAAGTACATTTAACAATCAAATAACAAATCTACATAGGAGATCCTGAATTCTATTTTCTTTGAAATATTTTCTTCCATTTTTATCTCTTTAGTAAAGTTAGGCACAATGTGTCTGCATCACATCTGTTCTTTAGAAAGTACTCCTTTCTAAATCCTGGAGGTTCCCAATATCATATTACTTCCCTCAAGGACTAAATTCTCTGTGACTGTTTGTGTGCTGCTAGTAGTGTGTGTGTTTAAACATTTCCTTGAATTTAAATTCAAATAGATTTAAATGACAACATATTGTTCATTTTAAATAGCTTAAAAATAATCCAAATGCTTTTTAAAGGCTAAAATTAATTGCACTGTAATTAAACAATCTTCTTTCTACAAGCAGTTTAATCAGTTACTTCAGTTATCATTGACATGGTAGGTAAGCAGGAATTTATTGACTTTTACTAGTTAAAATAACTGTTACTGGTAACAAGTAAACAATAATTATTGTTTTTCAAGTTTCTTTGCCTCTTTGAATTTCATTTTTTATAATAATTTGGGACATCTTCCTAAATTATCAAACAAAATTTGTCCAAAACATTTAGTCCATTTTAATATTGTCCCTCCTTCATGTTTCTCTGCTCTCTCATGTCTCCACCTTCCTTTTTTGATGCTTTGTCCCTTGGCACATTTCATCAGTGGGGTGTTTTGTTTTAATTCTGAAATGACTGTGTCCTGTAATAGGTGCAGGACTCCTCTACCAAAGCCAGCTGTGCCATTCTCTGGGGAAGCTCTGTTGATCTAACCTCCGGGAGAAACAAGTTATAGGGCCCAAGCATACAGGCACACTGAAGAGCACTCCCTAGACAACATTTAATATTTGGATTTTTTTCCAGTGCAATGGTTAACAAAATCAATACATTCTTCATCTAGGTCTCTTTACCTGCCTTAAACCAACACCAAAGACTGTTTCTGAAATCCTGTGTCAAAATGGCAGACCACCAAAGATAATAACAAAATTAACATTTTGGGGGAACTTACTGTGACTAATACATAGTAGTTGCTTTCTCACATGATTTCATTTGTCTTTGCAAAAACCAATCAAAGCAGGTATTAGTATCCCTTTCTACAGGCAAGGAAACTGAGGCTCGAGGGAACCTCTCAGAAATGCTGTGCGGCAGAGGCAGATGGGAGCCTAGGCCTGTGTGGCTCCCAGACTTGTGGTTCTCCACATTTATCTGCTCCTAAGGTTTGCCCCATTTTCAACATGAATAGTAATAGGGCCATTAAAAATAGAAGTTGAGCCAATATTGATGACGTTTTTATGGCTTTTTAGGACAGACTACCTTAAAAACACAATCTCAGTGAAGTCACCAGAGAATGCTTTGAAATACCAAAAAGCATTTTCTTAGGAAGATTTATGAGAGGGAATTAAGATTTGATCTGGGAAAGAGAGCTTCCCATGTAGGAAGTCCAGGTCAAGATGGCACCTGTGTGCACAATTCTGCCTCTCCTTTCTGAGGTAACAGATACTTAAAAGCAAACAAAAAATAGCCTCGGAAAACAAGAAAGGTCATCAGCACACAAGTAATATTGAAAAAGTCCTTATGAGAAAGAGAGTAAGTGGCCCCATGCTGATGGAAAACCAGAGCAGAGAACACCACAGCTCAAAATACGAAAGGTGAGTTCTTCTGAAGAAATTCCTGAGAAGTTCCCAGCTCAACTCAGCCAAACGCAGAGATGGGGAATGGGGCCTGTCATTAAAGTGCAAGGAGTGACCTCAGGAAAGTTGGCCAAGCAGACTCCTTCTCTCCCCTTATATAGAGCATTTGGCAGAAGTTACTTAAATTTCCAGATGAAGCCCAAAGAACTGCTTTCTAAAAGATAATGAGCAGCCTGCCTGAGGGGGGTTTAGTTCTGAAAAAGCAGCAGAGCACTGTATGAGGTTACTTAGGACCTGCTCAACAGGCTTGGGTGAAGAGACAGGCACATTCTACCCATGAAGAACTCCAGTCACACAGTAAAGTGTCCTTATACTAACTCTAGTTACAGCGGGCACTCCATAGGAAGCTGGCTCTGACGTACATCACTCACCTACATAGAACTCACAGTCAAACTCCCCTCTGCATGCCCTGTCAGAAAACAGAACTACTCAGCTGCAGAACTCCATTTTAGCTCCCTAACAATTATTAATTGATAAATACAAATGGATAACCAAGGGTTACCAGTCACTTAAGGACAATCGGAGGCATGGAAGAGAAGGGACCAAGATAAACCAAAAAAAAGTTCATCTTTTAGGAGTCAAACGACTGATCCTGACAGAGAAAAGAAGAAATACAAAAAATACCAAAGAACTTTGGTATGTTTTAAGAATACCCTTAAAGACATTTTAAAAAACCCACACAACTATTTGAATACCAACAGAGAATGAGAACTCTTTCTTGAATGAAATTATAAATTATAAATATGTACCCTGAAATAAATTCCATACAAGGGCTGCATAGTTTGTAGCATGTAAACACCTAAAATCTTGGAAATTATAAATATGTACCCTGAAATAAATTCCATACAAGGGCTGCATAGTTGTAGCATGTAAACACCTAAAATCTTGAAGATACTCAAGCCCAAAAGCCATTCCTTAGGAGTTGTGAACGAAAGAACAGAGGCAGTGAAGGGGAGGAAATGAGCAAGTATCAGAAAGGTTTGAGAGTCACTGATCAGCAATGCTGGATACTAGAAGGCAATGAAAACAATGTTTTTAGAGAGTTGAGGGAAATTGGTTTTAAACTATTGTTTTATGCCAGGGTATCTGATTAATAAGGTATGAGGTACAGTGAAGAAATTTTGAGACAAGCAAGGACTCAGAAATTTGACTTCCCATGAGATCTGTATGAAATAATTACCTGAGGAGTTTCTCCAGCAAAAAGAAAAAGAATTAACAGAAAGAAAGCAATGTGGGAATCACGAGTGTGGCCATTGAGCTCAACTAAGAAAAACTGTAAATAACTAAAAACAACTGAGAGTTCATCTTTTAGGAATCAAATTTTATGAACATAAGATTTCATTTTCTGGTGCATAAATTCAGTCATATTATTGGATCTGAGCATGAAATTATGATTATTATTCATTTTCAATTTTTAGAATCAACCTGTACCCAAAGCACTAAGGTTAATTATAATCACAAAATATAACACAAACATAATAAAGGTTGGCAAAGCAATATGACTTTACATACATAATGTAAGTTTTAATATAGTTATATAATTTGTTGTTAACTGGGAAAGGGTGAGAGAAGAGAGGGAAGGAAGTAGATGTGCATTAATGTGTTAATTTTTCATAAGTTAATTATCACTAAAATTGACTATTTTAAATCAAGAAATAGAGGGTTAAATATTTTAAAGTCCTAAAGATTAGAAAAACTAAAAATAATATAACTGAAAAAATAGAGAGGAGGGAAGTACTATAGGTTTTATTTGTTATCTTTCAGGGTGGGAAGTCATTAGTTTTGAGATAAATCAAGAAATAAAAATATGCTACTTAAAATTATACTGGAAACAAAACAACCTCTTAACAGTTTCTTGATTCTGATGAAGTGGAGTACATTTTTAACCATTATATACTTTAATATTTCAACAATGTACAAATATTATATTTTATTAAAATGTGGAAATAAGATAAATGGAAACATAGTAATGGAACAGAACAATTCTCCTTATGCTTAAGAATTTAAAAGTTGCTTGGAAAAGCAAAATTTAGGTGAACAGTAATTCAAGATTGTAGACTCAGATTTGGTGTGAGATTTCAAGGGAAGATTTATAGACATTGTAAAAGGTGTTTCTCTGGTTTCTTCTTATTATAAAGTACTTGAAGGCTAATAGCAATAACAAAAAAAAGATCACAATTTTCACTCTTCTCCACTGGTGTCCCTGATCATTCTGAAATTTAGCCAACAGAGACTTACGTCTTAAATGGTCATAACATTTACACATGGCATACAGTTATTACACTTATTATTTCGAGTTATATTAAGAAGTGCATATGTCATCTCTACAGGTAGGTGACAGGTTGGAGATGGGCAGGACCCTGGTCTCTATCTCCTCCAAAGTGTCTTGAGTGTTGATTAAAAAAAAATTTTTTTGAATAAATTAGTTGTAAATGCCGTGGATGATTTTACTCCACTCTCTGACATGTTTATCCGAAAATTAAATATAATCAGCTTCAAAAATAATATGAAAACGGAAAACATTCTCTTACCTATCTAAACTTATTTCTGACGAGTCTTTCCTAAATGTCTGGAATATCTTAGGAAAACCTGTTGAATGAAACATTAAACATTTTAGCCCTTCCCTCTGTATCAGTGGTTCTCAGAAAGACAATTTTGCACTCCAGGAGACACTTGGTAACATCTGAAGACATTTTTGATTGTCACGAAATGGGGTAAAGGCTAATGGCATGTCCGGGGCTAGAGGCCAGGGATGCTGCTAAACATCCTATAACGCAGAGGACAGCCCTGTCCTCTCCTCCTGCCCCAACGAAGAATCATCCAGACCAAAATGTTTCTAAAGGAAGTGACTGGAGTTGTTTCAGGATGTAAAGTTAAACACAAAGGTGAGTTGTTTTTTGCAGTACTATTTTTACTAACACAGCACCCTTAAGGTACTCCTCCTTCTCCAAGAGTGGCATGTGCTTGTGTGTGTGTGTGAGAGAGAGGGAGAGAAATAGAGAGCGGGAGAAAGCTGGCGCTATCGTTGTGTGTGCGGACAGACATAGCACTCCCTACGGCTCTGCCAAAATTGCCGGTTTTAGGAGGCATTCACCTATATCCTTTATTGCCTAAATTCCGCTCAGCCAAGATTTTAGTGCCTTTGACAGAGGGAATGAGATAGACTGGAGTGTGTGTTGACTGGTGCCCGTATTTAGAAATCAGACACCCAAGTGGATGAAGGCCCTGGAGTCTTTGGATCTGCAGCCCGCCACCCCGCCCCGCGTCAGGGCCAGGGAAGCCTTCCAGGAAAGGGCGGGCAGGGGCGGTACTTTTCTGGGAGGAGACGCTCGAGGACGAGCTCGTGCTGCGTGTGCTCGACGAAGTCCGAGTCTCGCTGGGCGTGGGCGTGGGCGTGGGCGTCGGACTCAGGCTGGGGCTGGAGATGCTGGTTAAGCGGGGGCGTAAGGCTCCCTGGGCTTCGTCACTGCTGTCACTGACATTCGTAACTTTCCAGAAGTACTCTTCGTTGAACGGCCCATAGACCGCCACCCCATTCGCCTCCTCCTCGGCCTCCTCCTCGGCCTCCTCCTCGGCCTCCTCCTCGGCCTCCTCCTCGGCCTCCTCCTCCGCCTCCTCGGTCTTCTCAGCCTCCTCCGCCTCCTCGGCCATCGCCTCCTCCGCCTCCTCCGCCTCCTCCGCCTCCTCCGCCTCCTCCGCCTCCTCCGCCTCCTCCGCCTCCTCCGCCTCCTCCTCCACTCCCACTCCCACCTCCTCTTCTAATTCCTCCCGGCCCTCCTCCTTCTCAGGCTTCGTCAATCTACGATGCGAGCGCAAATTAGCCATGGCAGAGGGGAAGCAGGATCGCGGGTAGGCCTGCGCAGGAGGCTCAGCGAGGAGTCCAGGTCGAGGGCGCGCCCCCTGTTGTGCGTCCGTCTCCCTTGGCAACTGCTTTCGGCGCGGGGGAACTTCGGTAATTTAAAGCCGCAGAACACCCTTAGACAGTTGGCGTGGCAGTGCCTGGAGAGGGGCAGTCAGGCCAGGAGCTGCTAAAGGGAGCTGGTGCCACTGTAAACTTCTTTCGCATCTGCTCTCCATGGTCTCAGAGATACCCTAGCAGGCTTCTGCGAAGTGATCTCCCTTTCCCCTATTAGCTTCTTTGGAGCAAGTCTTTTTTTCTTTTTTTCTTTTTTTCTGTGAGGGGGTAGGGGTAATGGCTATCAGCGACGGACACACGTAAGGCCACTTGTTACTGCGGATACCGGAGTGTGTGTGTAGACAAATGCTTGCAGGAATTTACAACAAAACTCTATAAAAACAACCACCGGCCCTTGGGTCCTACTTTGCTGATTTAAATGTTTAAAACATTGCCTTAAATAGTGTCTTGATTAGCGAGGCTGGATCTTCTTTGTTGCTTGTTCCATCCATTCATTTAGGAGGTGGACCACCTAGGCATCTGGCCACCTAGGTATCTGGCCATCTAGGCACCACCTGTGTCTTTCTGGGGCTTTGTTTTCAGTTCATTATACTTAAATTTTTGTAAGATATTTGTGTACACTCAAATAGATATACAGAAATAATGCACACCTGTTTACCTACTACCCAGATTGGAGCGTGCACCTTTACTGTAGAGTTCAGCTTTATTTTAAAAACTTCTCAAGACCGAAATGTTCCTGGTGGGAGGGATTTTGTTTCTGATGTTTGACTTCATTGCGAAGATAAAGGAAGCAAACAAAAGATTTTACATAGCTGAAGATATCTGGGTGTTATGAAAACTGCCTGACTGACCTTTAATTTAAGTGACTAGCATTAGACTTGCAAGTCCCTTTGCATGATCTCTACTAAATCACCTGACCTCTTTCAGCCTCAGTTTCCCTAGGTATTGATAATAGGGGAGAAAAATGGAATAAGCATTGCTAAGAGAGTCACCTAAAGTAAGAGTCATGTGGCTTTTAGGGAAGTGGGGCCTCTTCAAGTCTTGTGCCTCAGTTCTCAGAGGTGCTACTAAGTTACTAAACCTATTGCTAAACTTAAAACTGGAAAAGCAAGCTGTCTATTACCACCAGACCCAGCAGAGACAGGGATTGAATCTTTTTGGGTACTTTTATCCAAATAGCTGGTGATCTGAGAAGACTGCAGGTTATGGACCCTAAAAGACCAACTTACATATCCTTTCAAGCCAACCTTTTTTATAAGGAGGGAGAAAAAGTGTAAGTAAGGAATTTGGAATTCAGGAAGAGGTTAATCAAGTAAAAGCCGTAGTCCAGCCATTTCCCTAACATCCTTTCATCCTTTGACCTTTCATTCTTTATCTGGGTCCTGTGTCCTGTGTTCTGGGCCATTTGCCTTATCTGTGTCCTGGGCAGAGGGATGTCTCTCCCTGAACGCAGTGGCTCAGATATCATCTTCACTGCTTGTGGTCTCTCCTGGAGTGCAAAGGTTGAATTGCATGTGGTCTCTTGGAGTCAGGGTGGGCTGTACCTTCAGTTCTTGACAGTAGCTTTTTACATGCATTAACTGCTAGGCTTATTAACTATTACCTAAAAACTAAGTTTCCAACCTTTGAGTTCCCCCCTCAAACTTGCTGTATACATCCTGAAACAAACAACTGCTGTATGGACACAGGTGGACTTGACCTCCTCCTGGTAGTCCCCCCGACCTTGTTTGCATATTGGAACTAACCAATCTCTGTTAACCTAGCCAGCAATCCTTCATTTGCATGAGAGAATTACACTTTATGGTTTTTATATTTATAAACTCTGCCTTTCTTTGTTCTCTCCAGAGCATGGTTTGGGTTGCTACCTGAATCTGCATCTATTGGATTGCAATCCTTTGTTGAAATAAATGCTTGTTTTTCTTTATTACAGCCAGAATCTCTTCTTTGGTTAACAGTAAAAATGGGAATAATATTACTTATCTGTAAGATTTTTGTGGCTATCAATGAATGTTAAATGACTGCTTACAACTGGCAGTGTGAAATGCAATAAAACAAAGCACAATAAAACAAGGTATGCCTGAATGTTTACTTATTTTATATCTTGTATATACAATTTCGTATCATGCTTTTTTAAATTTAACATGACATCATAAACATTCTCATTTTATTAAGTTTTATATCACATCAACTAGTAGTACCTCAGTTTATTCAATTATTTTTGCATTCAACTAGAGAATTATCAAAAGGATTTTCAATATCGCTTTCAGTCAAGATGGCAGAGTAAGCAAATGCTGTATTCACCTCCTCCAATGATCACATCAGAATTACAACTGAATTATAGATCAACCACCTTTGCGAACCACCTGAAGTCTAGCTGAACAGACCTCCTATAACTAAGGATATAAAGAAGTCAGGTGAGACTGGTAGGAGAGGTGGAAATGCAAATGGACTGGTCCCAGCTCCACCTGTGGCAGTTAAGCATTGGGAGGGATATCTTGGCTGCAGAGGGCTGCACTGAGGAGTGACAGATCTCAAGCCCACACGAGGCTCTCCAACCCAGAGCACCAGCGCCAGTAAGCCGAGTCCTCACAGCTGTTGGCTGTAAAAATCATCAGAAACTCAGTTTGGGTGAGACAGAGTCCTGCTGTAGACTCAGGCATTCTCTCAAAGGGTCCAAACACAGACTCACTCACTAACATTAGCCTTGTAAACTCCAGTGAAGGGACAGCACACTCTCCCACTCAGGAGCACACCCACACTTTTCCTCTCACCCTCTTCTCCCCCACCCCAGGTGTGTTATCTTTGCCTTTCTCTCTCCTAAGCTTCAAAGGCCCTTCTTTTGCCTCTGTGACTTGTTTCCTTAAGTTTACAGAGCCTGCCTGGCTCACTTCTACAACCACTAATTTTCTCAATAAACTTTCTCTTGTAATTTAGAAAAAAAATGCCAGGAACATATGGGAAGGAACCAAATTGTCTGGCTTCAGGACGAGGACTGGAAGGCAGCTCTTTCCCAGACAGAATTGTTGGCAGAGGCCATTGTGCCTTTCCTTTCTTTAACCTTTAGCATAATTAAAATGCCAAAGGTGAAAGACAAAGAGAGAATCTTAAAAGTAACGAGAAAAATCAGTTATATAAAAGGGAGCTCCCGTAACACTGTTAGCTGATTTCTCAACAGAAACTTTGTAGGACAGAAGGGATTGACAGGAAATATTCAAAGTAATGAAAATCAAGGACCTAAAACCAAGATTGCTCTACCCAGCAAAACTATCATTTAGAATCAAAGGACAGATAAAGAGCTTCCTAGACAAGAAAAAACTAAAGAAGTTCATTCATCATGACCAAACTAGTATTACAAGAAATGTTAAAGGGATATATTTAAGAAGAAGGAGAAAATAAAGTATATGACAAAATGGCAATAACTACATACCTATCAATAATTACTTTAAATGAAAATGAATTACATGTTCAATCAAAAGACATAAAGTAGCTGAAAGGAGAAGAAAACAAGACCCATAAACATGCGGCCCACAAGAGACTCACTTCAGATTGAAAGACACATAGACTGAAAATAAAGGAATGGATAAAAATATTTCATGCAAATGGAAATGAGAAAAGAAAAGCTGGGGTAGCAATACTATTTCAGGCAAAATAGACTTTAAAACAAAGGCTATAGAAAGAGACAAGGGACATTTAATATACAATAGCTAAGATATGGAAGCAATCTAGGTATGTATTAATAGACAATTGGATAAAAAAGAAATGGTACATATATATAAAATAAAATATTACTCAGCCATAAAAAAGATTACAGTCTTTTGCTACAACATGGGTCGACCATGAAGGCATTATGCAAAGTGAAATAAGTCAAACAAAGATAAATACCACATGATTTCAGTTATATGTGGAATCTAAAAAACAAATCAACAAAGCAGAAACAAATTCATAGATACAGAGAACAAACTAAGGTTTGCCAGATGGGAGGGGTGTTAGGGGACTTGGTGGAAAAGGGATTAAGAAGTACAAATTACTGTATTTTACATCCCCATGGCTATTTTGTAACTGCCCATTTGTATACAGTATAGGGTATGTATTCAATAATGTAACAACTACGTATCATATCAGGTGAATATTAGACTTATCAGGGGAGAATCACTTTGTAAGTTATTTCTAACCACTATGCTATACCTGAAACTAATATATTGTGGCCCATAGTAGAAAATTAAAGAAAAAAATTAAAAAGAAAAAGATGTGATCTGAAAGATTTCAGTTGTAGAATTAGTTGTACTGAATGGGTAAGACTTTATGGGAAACCCTTAAAGAATATTAATTTATGTAGCCAAACTTAAATGCAATCTTACTCCTAGACTATTTTTTGGAAGTTTCATACATTAAAAAATTATTACTGATATGAAAAAAATTGATCTCATTGCTTTAGGTTCTGAAGGTATAGCTGAGAATAAAGGAATAAGGTCACATCTCTTCATATTATGGAAGGAATTAAATGAAGACATTAAAGAAGGAAATAAATTGTTCTATAAGATAATAAATTTGTGGTGTTTTAAGCAACCACCTTTGTGGTAATTTGTTACAGTACCAGCAGAAAACCAACACACTAAGCTCATTGCTACCTTGGGGCTCTTGCTCTGGCTCCTTAGGTCTTTGCATGACTAGTTCACTCATTCAGGTCTTAAAACACATGTCACTTCCTCCTAGGAACACCCCTTCCCCCGACCTT